TTATTATTTTGGGGGGGATCCTGAGAAACAGACACCCGTAAAGGTGTCTCACTCGCCGAGCAGCGCAAGACCTCGCAGCTGACAAGCACCTTCGTCAGCACCAGCACCTGACTCTCGAGGATTCCCCGAATCCACCCCCCACAGAGTGGATTCCGGGGGGGGGGGGTTGTCGTTGAGCATGATAAACCAAATGTGAATACCTTGACCCCCCATAAGGCCGCTGCAGCTTTGCTGTCAAGAAGGTCTCACTCTCTCCGGGGGTTTTCAAAATCAGAAAAGCTGCGGTTTCCCTTTCACCCACACGGGGGGTGAGTTCGACAGTGGTAAAAAGAAGAGGAATGGGGCCAGCTTCGCATAGAATCCGATTCAAATCCCAGAACTAGTGGCCATCTTAGTCGGTGGCCGGCGCATCAGGGTATCCTGTTGGGGTGCTTTCAAGGGAGCCAAAGGGACAACTAACCATTTTGGGGTCTTTTTGAGACAGGCCCAGAGGGGTTCTTTTCCTTCTGAGTATCCCTGACAATGCCGGCGACTTTTCGAATGGGGGCAGTTGATGCTAAGGAACTCATGAGCAGCGGAGCAACGCTTTGACAGAAAAAGCAAACAACCTTCTTTTTGTGGGTACTCCAAAAATGGCGGTTTTCCATTAAAGCCACAATAAAGGGGCGTACCGAGCCTCAAAAGAAGACGATCCACACCCTTCTCGGGCTATTAGACACCTTCAGGACACCGGAGGCCAATCTTTTTTGGGGAGGGGGTTCCGCATCCGAGTGCCGGTCTGCAGTCTCGTACTCGCCGATCCTCGCGGGTTCGTCGTCTTTTGAGGAGTGGGTCGGGGTCCCGGAGAGAAGGGCATAGAGGGGGTGTGGAAACACGGGACACGGCACCACATATGTAAATAACTGTACATACATATATACGCACAGGTAGTGGTTTGGGCGTAGTCATTCCGCTCCACGGCTTTAGGCAACTCGGCAGGACTCCAAACAGAGGTCCCCCCCCTCCCCTACAGAAACGTGCAACACCACGAACTCTTCTTTGGTCGATGTCCCAAAAACACACACAACAACACAGGGGCCGGCGGCGCGCCACCCAACGGAAGTCTGCGCGCGAAACGCGTGCGCGAGACCGAGGCTCTTCAGGACATCGCCGTCCAAAAAGTTGATCTCCACCTGCAAAGTCTATCCATGGGGATCTGGGGGGTCAAAATTAAACCACCAGAAAACCGCAGGTTTAGTCCATGTTTCCATTTGCCAGGGTAAGCCATTTTGGGGTTACCCTATTTTTGACCAGCCATCTCACTTTGACCATCACCTCGAGCCCAGAAAACCTCACGTTTTGTTTTGGCCCGCTCAAATAGTCTTACCAAGCTTCAAGTCCACAAACTGCGGAGGCGAGTGGAAAGCTTTCGACACCCTTTTGCGGGAAAAACCGAGAGGAAAGCTACACTTTTAGGCGAAGGTAGTCTAAAAAGGACGACCCTGCTATCCATGTAGCCAAGTGGATGCTCTTTCTTGTGGTTTCTGCCTCAAGTGTCCTTTTCTCCTTGGTTCCATGCCGATTCGAGTCGAGGGCTTTGAGTGTGGACAACCATAGGATCACAATGCATGCCCCAAAGCTGCTTCGGTTCACTATATGGGTGTGCCTCTTTTTTGAGGCTCGGCACCCCTGGTTTGCTGGGTTTTAGCCAAGAGCAAAACCACTTTCGGGGGTTCCCCCACAACAACATCCATATGAGCACAATCTCAAGATGCCCTGCCCCAATATGAGCACAATGTCAAGATGCCCTGCCCGAAGCCTGCCACCAATGCCCATGATATACTTTATTGGGCCACTTCCTCAAAAGTGGTTGGGGGACGTGAATCCCCACCTAAATCATGCCCAAAAAGTCCCCTATGAAAATACACGGTCATTTCTCACTCGGGGTGTCACAAGTGCCTACACAGCGCCTGCTCTAGCCCTCCGGCGTACCACGCGGAGCAGTGCCAAGAGCTCGCAAATGCATAAAGGGTCACTCCAACAAGCAACTCTCCCAAAATTCTTTTGGAATTCACTTTCTATTCGTCCCCAGCAAACGTTGGCCTCTACTCTCTCTCTCTCTCTCAGACAGCGCAAGCATCCGAATGCCGCCGATCCACGTGCTGATACATGACCTTGGGTCCGGCGATGGCCACCAGGTGCTCGTTGAGGAAAACCTCAGGCCGACGCATGCGCTGAGGTCAGGTCCTCCAGATTTGAGAGGTTAGAATAAGCTGGTACCAACTCTTTTTTTTTAATGTTATTTTTTTCTCGGTTTTTTTCAATTTTAGTAGGGGAACCGAATCTCCCAACCAAAAAAGTTGGCAAAAGTTGGCACTACTGGGGGACCTAGTCACGTGAAGTTGCCCATGGGTAGACATCTCCTCAAAGAGGGTCTCCCTTTTGGATGGTCAGGGGGAAACCACCAGGAAACCAAGCGCAGGCTATGGCCGCCGCTTTGAAGAAACGTCCATGTTGCCCTGAGAACTTTTGAATTTGTGTTTTGACACAGGCAAGGTGTTCTGAGTCGAGTTGAAGGGTGCTTAACGTCCACTTTTGGTGCTTCTTGCTCGCCCTCGAAAACTTGGCCCACTGGGGTACTCCACAAATCATATCTATTTTTCTGGCTCTTCATATGGCCATGGGTCAAAATCCCGTACCCCCAGTGAACATCCCAATCTCCATGGTACCAAAACCACAACTAATACATATTTTTCTGGCTCTCCATATTTAGTCTACCCTAAGATGGCTTTGGAGACCCCTCAACACGAATCCAAGCTAAGGCTCAGCCTCTGTGTTTTGCTGCGGTTCCTAAGGCTCGCGGCTTGCACCTCGCCATCGTCATGCTGGTTGCCAAAGACCACCTCGGATGCACCGGGTACGAGCCTCGAAAATCTGTCTGTGGAAGATTCCAACCGAATTCTGCCGAGGGAACCCAGGGAAACAGAGAGAACACCCCTGTTTTCCCTGTTTTGTAGAAAAGGGCCCTTCCCCCCCATATTCCTTTTTGCACTTCCAAGTTGAACCCTGGGCTTCGCATGGTTGTTCCTTTGGACCATTGACCCCCTGCCATGGACCAAACCGACCTGAAGTTGATATGTCGCTTTGAAGGCATCGCCCAACATGGACTTTTTGCTTTTGCTCTCGTTTCCTCTTCAAAACCAAAAGGGGCACGACCCCGCAACCCTGACTGGAAGCGAAATCAAAGCTTTGGGGCTGAAACGACAAAGGCAAGTGCTCTGGCCAGGCTTTGTAAACACGTCAAGGGCCTTGGAGAAAAACGGAACCGCAATGGCCAGTTTTAGTTTGGCTAAAAAGCCCAACAGGGTACCCTCAACAAAAGAAACAGCATGGTCGCGCACCCCGCTCCCCAATTTCTGCTCGATGCTGTGTACTGCGACAGTGCCCAGTTTTTATGAGACAAGGGCATCGTGGCTGATGCCGCAATGCATATGGGTGAAACGCAACACAGCTCTGACACAAAAGCTGTGCATTCACCTTTGCTGTGATTTTCATCAGCAAAATGATGCTTATAGGATTGGATTGCCAAGGACGGCGATTCACAAGTCAGGTCGTTTGGGAATTTGGGCCAGAGAAAAAGGCAAGCCGCGACTGGCATTTGACCAAGCTCAGCCCCCCTCATCCCTGGCTGCATTCCTTCGCGATGTGGTGGGCTCCATTCCTCGCAACCGATCGGAATGGACAAATTGGAACCGCCACGAGCCAAAAGCAAACCAAGGGGAATGAAGCGGAAACCAAAAAGACAGCAAAGAGAAGCCCAAAGCGAACCGAAACGACCCAAAGCACCAAAAGAAACACCAAGCCCGGGATACCACAAACCAAAAGGAGACCAAAGGAGAGATGTAAATCAAGGGGCATTCAAAGGGAACCAGGCCTACCGCAATCGAATCAGATGAAACTAGGAGACCATCCAAAATAATATACCCAAATGAAACCAAGAGAAGGTCGAAGACAAGCAAAGAAACTGAAACAACCAACAGAAACCAAGAGAAAACCAAGAGGTTACCCGAAACCAAGAGAATGCCCAAACAAGCCTGGGTTTTCCATCAGGCAGGCACTCGAGGAACCCTCAGGGGACACACGTAGGAGACCCCCCCAATAAGTTGAAGAGAAGCCCCAAGGGAAACCAAAGAGAAACCAAACAGGAAACACATAGGCAACCACAAAAATACGAAAGCCGAGACATACTGAAAGCGCAGAAGGCAAACCAAGAGGAAGCCCAATGGAAAGCAAATGGACACCTAAAACACAGAAGGATACAACGAGTAACCCCAAATGCAACTGAGAGGAACCCCAAAGGAATGTGACAGAGAGGGAGAGAGCGAGCCATAAGCAGCTGAAACCCACAGAAAACGAAAATGGATGTTTTTTCGAGATAGTTGTGGACCAATTGCGAGACCAATCTGTGCCATCCTCATGACTACTTGATCAATTTGAAGGAGATTCCCTCATAACAGACAGTGACCACTTAAAACCTACTATAAGGACATAAACATGATTCGAATAGGGTCACTTACAAATCTAAATTCATCATTTTCGCGGACCACCTGCGTAACTGTTTCGCTCATGTTTTCCACACTCAACGAACCAACAAGAACGCAAAGAAGGGAACCAAGTTGCCACAAGCCACAGGGACACCCTTGAAGGATGTCTCGATGAACGGCCTCCCACCAACCCAACTCACATTGCCGCTTCACATCCTCAAACAGATACACCAAGCCTCTCTTTTCCGGCGTCTTCTTTTTCTTTCTTGGACAGCCACAGAAAATAAGCTCAGGCGATATCCCCAACAGTATTCACCCTCCCAGAACCCTCGCAGAACCCTCATGGAACCCTGGAATCCTGGTGGAACCCTGGTGGAACCCTGGTGGAACCCGGGTGGAACCTTACCTCAGGGCGGCCCCACCCCCAAACCTATCTGGGCTGAGACCGGACACCGCTGCGCTCGAGTCGAGCGGCGTTCAGGGCTTGTACTTGGCCGCCGCCTCCTTGAACTGCGCCTCCAGCTGCCCCAAGATGTTCTTGAAGGACTTGCCTCAGACCGCGGAAAAAGGCGCGAGAACGTGAGAAAATCCCACGAGGTCCTCCAGATTTGAGAGGTTGGAATAAGTTGGTACCCACTTTTTCTCGGTTTGGTCTCTTTTAGTAGGGGAACCCCCCCAAAAAAAGTTGGTAAAAGTTGGCACTACCGGCGGACCCCGAGAAACTCTCAGGGTCTCGCGCGTTGGATTATTCTCACAAAGGAGGGGGGGTGCAGGTTCCACAAAAGGCAACACACCAGAACCCACCCCCTCTTCATCCCTTACTGCCACCTCGCCCAAGGCAATTCGTAGCAAAGCAGAAGGAAACTGCTGGGTTGATCCCGTGTCGCTTCGGAACTCATAGTGAAAAAGGATTGGACCATGGATGCTCCTAAACTGGCGGATGAGAAAAACCGAAGGTCGGTCAAATGGTTGGCGAAACGGACCGGATCTAGACACTTCGGGCAACAAACAAAAACAACCCAGGTGGTATCCGCTCCAAACCACCAACCAGATCCTATTTGGGCCTAGACTGATCCTTTTCCCCAGAAACCTGACGAGAAATCGAGAACTCCATACCCCAACGAGTCAGGGTCACTGGCGGGGACGCCCGTTTCCCTGCAGAGGGCTAAACCACAGGCCTGTTCACCTCCCATAGCCGCGGGGGCTATGGTCGGCGGATCTCTGAATGGCCCTTGGGTTGCCGGAGCCTTCAAACCCCCGAAAGGGTACCAACTGTCAAGAAAGGGCACGAAGGGCACCACTTTTTTTCCTCGAAAACACCTTGGGACGTCAAAACCCGGGTGAGTCGTCTCCATGTCCAACAAAAAGCCCTGGCTCGCTTTCCGGAGCCCTTGTCAGGCTTGCCCCTCCGCTTTTTGGCGGATCTGAACGGGAACCCTCTGAGAACAAGCTGAACACAGGGAACTGGAGGTGGTTCCTCATCAACTTCCTTGCCAAACAATCCAAAGGAGGTTCCACAAGACACCATGGCTGGTCCTTGATTGCCGCCGCTCCTGGCTTGGGGTACTGGAGAAAATGGAAAACCAACCCCATAGCCAACCAATCTAAACAAGGTTCCACTTACACCACCTTAATCATTTCTGCTCGATTTTTCTGTTGCCCCAACCCCACCCCACCAACCCCACCCCACCCCCTACCCCACACCAACCACTCCACCCCCCCCCCCGCCCGAGGCCCCGGCGGTCGATCTTGCAGATCTTCGCCTCCGTCTTCGCCTCCACCGAGGCGGCCCTCGGCTCGTTGCGCAGCAGGGCCAACTCACCGAAGAAGTCACCGCGCTGGTACTCCAAGACCTCCTCCTCCTCAAGCAGTTCTCGGTCTTTGCGTTTTTTTTTTGTGTCGGTTTGTTTCGTGCCTTGCTTTTCCTCTTTTTGATTCGGAGGTGTGGTGTCTTTAAGAAAAGAAGAGCAAGAACTCCTGAGGTCAGCGCTTTTCTGCTTTTAACCATTGCGCTTCTGTTTTTGCTTCGGACGAGGTGTGGAGTTTTAAGAAAATAACTCCTGAGGTCAGCTTTCTTTTGTTTGTCAACCTTCTTCTGTTTTTGCTTCAGCGGAGGGGTGGGGTTCAAAGAAAACAAAAACAAACTCCTTTGGTCAGCGCTGTTCTGTTTCATCAACCTTTGCGCTTCCGTTCTTTGGCGGAGGTGTGGGGTTTTCAAACGAAACAAAAAAAGACTCCTGAGGTCAGCGGGCGTGTGTTTGTTTTTTCTTAACCCGGGGAGAAAGAACTCCCGGGGTGTCTTTTCCCCCGTGTGGGGTGGGGTGGATGTGGGGGGAAAAGGCGAAACTCCTCCAGGCCTTGGGGTTGAAGCTGGGGTTGAAGCTGGGAAGCGGGACACCTCCTCAAAAAGTATCTGGCTTTGAGTTTCCGGGAGGGAGAAGTGGGACACTGCCCCAGGAATGGCGCAAGCGATCACAAATCCTTGGATCACTGGGTAGAGGAAGCCGGCATGGGCCACTTGCAATGCTTTGCGGGAATCCATATGGTTTGCCGCAAATGGGGGAAGTGCAAGGCCCGGGACGCTGGCATCGGCAAGTGGGTGTTTGGCTGAAAAATGGTGCCCCGGAAAGTCAGGGCCCGTTTTGAGGACCTTTTGGATGAACGGAAGCTGAAAGGACGCCTTTTCAGGGGTTCCCCGCCTTCGGAAACATTCAAAAGCTGCCACACCCAGCCAAACAACCTGGCGTAGAACAAACATGGCAGTTCGCTGCAGTGTCGTGGCTGGGCGCTGAAACGGTTATGGCTCGCAATTGCAACTCGCCGTATATGTATATATATATATATACATATATATGTCTATCTATAGACCATAGACACTCGCACACACACCACCCGCGCACAAGCGTGTCAGGGCTGAACACTAAATTGATGTCTAGGGTTGCTTCGAGGCTTGACAAAGCACAAACGATTCCCATCGACAACTCTTGCCTATGGCAACTCGTGCATCATTATCCTCACCTCCCGAGTGGCACCCGGGACATATCTTCCTTTTTTGTGTGGAATTCAGGGGTCGTTTTTCGAGGGAAACCAAAGGAAACTTTGGGGAGATCGTAGGAATGTAATGGACCTGGTGAATAAGGCAACCCCATTTCAATGACCCTCATGCAAGAGACACACATTGGGGCGCCTTGGTTGACGTTTTTGGGCGTGGTTCCGTTTTCCCAGGCAAAAAAGCGGTACCCCCCCCCCCTTTCTGGGAGCGTTTTTAATTGGAACCAAAAGGACAACCCTCGTTTTGGGCATCACCTCTTGTGTTTCCTTTGGGTGTCGCATTCAAACCACTTAGATCGCCAGCTGCTTTCTCCAGTTGCTGGTTTTTGGATGGTCAAGTGGATGGACAGCTGGGGATCCAGCAAATCTCTTTCACATTTGGCGAAATGAACCCAATGAACCCCCGGTTCCAGGGAAACTTGTCCCATGAAAAGCATCCCTTTGGGTTGAGACAAATCCCTTGAGACCTCCATTTCACGACATGCCCAGCGGAAGCCGAGCCTTGCCGTCATCGCGCTTCTTGGTTGCGGTGAGCTGACCCTCCTGGTGACCAGAGACCCAAACAACACCCGACAACCCCCCCCCCCCGGTCTGCTGGGGGCTTTTTATTGAAGGCCTGCTAGGGGCTCTGGGTTCCAGCTTCTGTTTTTTTTTTTTTGGGGGGGTCCCCTCTTTGGGCCCCTGACAATCGTAAAAAAAGAAGAAGCAGCACACCAAAACAAGAGATCAATCGAAAAGCGCTATTTTGAGGTAGACAACAACATATAATAAACTCAACTGGAGTTGGAAGGATGAAAAGGCGATTTGCTGGTTGGTGCTGGGAAATTGTCGTTGTCCAAGCACTTTCAGGTTAGCTTGGTCAACCCCACCCCCAATTGGAAGCAGGGCCCTCCCTCCATGCCTGACTCACCCCGCACCCAAGGGAACATTCATGAGTGAGGCTGCCTTTGTTTGCGGATATGCCCCGTACATTGTCCGTCGGTGGGGATGTTCGATGATCGGTATTTTGCTGTTCTGCTAATTTCAAACGATCAAATGTAGTGGTTGGAAATTGCTTTTTTTGGGGCAAGAACTGGAATCGCTCGTTTGTTCAGTCCCCAAGCTTCTTGGTGACTGTTACTCCGAAAATGCTCTTGCTTTCTCCCTTCAAAAGCTCAAGAACTGAATCTGTGTCAACTGGAATCCCGAACCGGCTGTTTTCTCTTTCCCAGAACAACCGGCCAGCAAAAGAGCACCTTCCAAAAATCAAGCCCACATGGGAGCCCCATCCAGGGAGATCCAGTCCTTTTCCCTGGCAAGGAGACGCAAGCCCGACATTTCCGCCATGTCCTGTTTGGAGTTTGTACCCGCTATGTTTTTTGGTGTAAAGTCGGGAACCCACAAAATGAGGACCGAATCCCAATCTTGCGTCCCGGTGCAAATGAATCAACTCGCTGAAATCACTCACTCACTCACTCACTCACTCACTCACTCACTCACTCACTCACTCACTCACTCACTCACTCACTCACTCACTCACTCACTCACTCACTCACTCACTCACTCACTCACTCACTCACTCACTCACTCACTCACTCACTCACTCACTCACTCACTCACTCACTCACTCACTCACTCACTCACTCACTCACTCACTCACTCACTCACTCACTCACTCACTCACTCACTCACTCACTCACTCACTCACTCACTCACTCACTCACTCACTCACTCACTCACTCACTCACTCACTCACTCACTCACTCACTCACTCACTCACTCACTCACTCACTCACTCACTCACTCACTCACTCACTCACTCACTCACTCACTCACTCACTCACTCCAACCAAGCAATCCTACAACAAAACCCAACCCAAATCCACATCCAATGAACCCCCCCCCACTCCCTCCCAGCGATCCGATCCGATCCGATCCGATCCGATCCGATCACCCGAGAAATCCTCCACGATGTAGAAGGTGTCCCCGGGCTCGCCCTGCTTCAAGATCTTCTGCCCCGCCTCCAAGGTCTGCTGCTGCAGGCAGTCCGCCAGCTGCATCAAATCATAGCCTGCGAGCTCAGAAAGACGTCACAACCCAAAACCAAAAACGAGGCACCCAAATGGGCGATGCCCCAGAAAAAACAACAACGAGGAGATGGGGAGGGGGAATTTGTGGCAACATACGGATTTGGAATGATGTGTTGTTCCTCTTGGTTTCCCACAAGGATTTTAAAGCGACTTTTTCACTGAGAAAACAAGGTTTTGCCTTGCGTGATTCGAAAGGCAGCAAACAGAATCACCCTTCCTGGTTGTTGGTTGGTTGGTTGGTTGGTTGGTTGGTTGGTTGGTTGGTTGGTTGGTTGGTTGGTTGGTTGGTTGGTTGGTTGGTTGGTTGGTTGGTTGGTTGGTTGGTTGGTTGGTTGGTTGGTTGGTTGGTTGGTTGGTTGGTTCCATTTTGAGTTTCGGACACCAAATGTATGGGATGTCAAGGTCTTGCAATCCACTGAACTGGGTTCAATATTTCGTGGGGTTTCGCAGAAAACAAGGGACTAAGGTTGATTGGTCGCTGGACTTAGAAGGGATCCAAAGCGAGAACAAACGGTGCTGGTTGACATATGTAAGAGAGGTTTCAGGGCACTCTATACAATTGAGTTTAATTCTCAATTAGGCACCCTGTCACTTCAGTGAGGTCTTCAGAAACCACGTCTGAGGTGGTCCAACTCAAATACACACAATCCAATTGTCCTCATGTTATGGATTTGTGTCCACTTGGTCCAACTAATCTGGGTCCAGCAGAGAGGTTAGAATAAGTTGGTACCAACCTTTTTTCTGTTGTCTATTTTAGTAGGGGACCCTCCCAACCAAAAATGAAACGTTGAGAAGCGCACCTAGCTGGGGGACCTAGTCTTCAATTTGGTTAAGGCCCCAGGAACAAGTAAACATATTTCCAGCAGTGATGAATTCCTTTTAAAACCAACAATGGAACATAGAACATATTCCTAATCAAATGGCTGTGGCTCAAACAAATGGAATACCCAAAATGGCACCTTGGTAAATGGAACCAACAACTAACCCCGCGGTTTGCCCCAGCTAGTTAATTTTCAAAATTAAAGAGGAGGGGTTGCGCAGGTTTTGGTCCACGTTTCCACTTGCCAGGGTTCCATTTTGGTACCGGTTTTTTGAGCCACGGAGATAGTCCAGTTGAGTAGCTCTCCAGGGGCTTAAACAGCGGCACCGTCTTCAAGAAGTCCATGAAGGCTTCGCGGCGCTTGGCCGACGCGTCCCGGACCTCGGTGGCTTCCCCCCTTTTTCTGCTAAAAGCTTTTAACTTTCAGTGCTTTAATGGAAACCCAACGTTTAACTTTTAGTGGTTTAATATGGAAAACAACAATTAGTTGGCAAACAGCTGTTCAGTCCTAACATCCCTTGGCAAAATGCAGCAAAGGGGCGATGTGGGTGAAGGTCTCTCGGTCCAGCTGCCACACTGTGGACTCTTCCTCGGGCACGTGAAGCGTCAGAAGTCGGACAGCAACAAAGGGGCTAGTGGAACAGGGAACCCCAAAACAGCGAGAAGGAAAAGCTGCTTGATTTTTCTTGCTTGGGTTCGTGGAAAACACAGAAAAAACAAAAAGGGGAGCTAGGGAAGTTGAACAGGGGACCCTGGACGGTGGCCATCAGAATTCGGCGGGGATTCATGTCCACTAACCACTTATGAGGTGACTCTTCCTTGGTCTCTTGATCCAGCTCTGGGAAATTTGAAGAGGGAAGTCAACACTTTGGTATTGGTGGGTATGTGGCTACTCTTTGGATCATGCTGTTTTCTCTCACAACTGGGCTTGTCTAAACATGTTGGCTTCCCCAAAAGAGACACACCCAATTGACCATTGACCCCTCCAAAACGTTCTGCATTGTGCGAGTTTTCGGGTGACCCTCTTGAGCGGGTTTGATCAGAAGTGGGCTCCGAAAATGGCAAAAAGCCAAGCATCGGTGGCCTGCACCGAAGCTGCGCGGGGGCAGTTGTAAAGCAAGGCCAACTCACCGAAGACGTCGCCTGGGCCACACTTCTTCACCACCTTCTCCTCGGTTTTTTGGACTTGCACAAATGGTCCGGAAAACGGTGTGGATGTGGTTTTTGTGGATGCACCCCAGTAGAATACTGAAAGGCTAATCAACGACTATTAAAAAAGGACCAACAGAAAACGAACGGGGGACATCTGCAAAAAGCGCATCCAAACGGTTCTTTAGCAATTCTTACGCTTTTGGGGGAGATGTTTCATAAATCCAAGTCTAACTCTTAAACAAACAACAGCAACGGCGAAAAATGAATTGATGAGAACTGCCGAGCTTCCGCCCCATCGATCTTCTTCAGGCAATCAAAGGCACCAGACTCGATGAGGAACATCACATCTCCGTCGTCGCCTTCCTGGATGATGCGATCCCCCGAGGGGATCTTCTTCTCCAGGAAGGCCCCGAGGATCACCTTCATGTCACAATCAAAACCGATCGGTTTTAAAATGGTCGTAGTCCCAGAACCATGCTTCAAGAATTAAGAAGGCGGATATCCGAAACTATTTCTGGCTGGGACTGCCCCTTACAAACCTTCATCTACCCAGGTTTTGATTGTGGCTCACCTTCAGGTCATCCTTGCTCAGGGCGTTGAACAAGAAGCTCTTGGACAGGACCTCATTGATGCGGCCCTCCTGCAACGCATAGCAAGAAAACCCCTAATGGTTGCTCAACCCTAGGATTCAACCCCCATGAAAAGAAAGCTTGACTCAATTTGGATGATGACAATCCTTAGTCAAACAATGGCGGTTATATGAACCCTCATTCTTTTCATGGTGGTTTGAACCCCAGGGTAATGACAATACCCCGCCTAGACAGATCGTGGCGCTTCCCCATTTTTTCGGCGAGAGTCCGGTTTTTGGCGTCCTGTCCTGTTCACCACTCTTCTCGTAAACGGGCGGCTCGAATGCTTTCTTCTCATTGAACGCACCGTATGCCTCTGCGGACACTGATCCTCGCTGTCCTTTCTTCATGTAGGCAGCTGGAGGCTTCCAGTCGTCATCGGCATCATCTTCCTCGCCGCTTCCGAAGTCGCTCTCTTCCTCCTCGCTGTCGTTCTTCTTCTCTTCCTTCTCCTCCTCCTCTTTCTCCTCCTTTTCTTCTTCCTCCTCTGCCTTCGCGGCCTCTTCTTTTGCCGCGGGTGCATCAGCCTTCGCCTCTGGCTCATCTTTCTTCTCCTGGTCCTTGGATTTGGCTTCGCCCACCTTGTCGGACAGGACCTTGATCTCCCCCTGCAATTCCCGGATCTCATTCCTGACGGCAAAAAGCAGTCAGACCATCAAGGACCGAGTCGAAAGAAAAACAAACATGCTCAGTGTGTGTGTGTGTGTGTGTCGTTTTTTAGGGACCTCCCCCCGAAAACAAACAAAACAAAAGAACAACAACAGCGACAGCGACAGCGACAGCGACAGCAACAGCAACAGCAACAGCAGCAGCAGCAGCAGCAACAACAGCATCAACAGCAGCAGCAGCAACAACAGCAACAACAGCAACAACACCATCAACACCATCAACACCATCAATAACATCAACATCAACATCATCATCATCATCATCATCATCATCATCGTCATCATCATCGTCATCATCAGCAGCAGCAGCAACAACAGCAGCAGCAACAACAGCAATAACAGAAACAACAACAACAAAAAACAGCAAAAAGCAACAAACACAAAGAACAGCACATGCGGCTTTCCTGCAGGTTTCCCTTCAAACAAAAAAGCCCTCAGCTGAAATCTTGTCAAGTCCTCAGCTTCTCCGCCTCTCCGACTCCGAGAGAGTAGAGGGAGTCCTTGCCCGTCTTGGACCTCTCAGCCAGCCATCGGACCATGAATGGCACTGGATTCTCCGGGCGTTCCAGCAGGACCTCCGTGACTAGGCTCTCAAGGATGGGGTTCACCTGATATGCTCGTTTAAGCGTAAGGAAAATCTATTGTTCAACGAAGCTCCTTCAGGTTTCTCTTTTGAGGGCCGAAAATTGAAACACCTACCCATTGTTCAACGAAACATTTTTTGTTGAGGGCGGATCATTGAAACACCTATTGTTCAACGAAACTCCTTTTGGTTTCTCTTTGAAGGCCCATAATTGAAACACCCATTGTTTGAACAACCTTCCGGGTGCTTAAGCAGATTTTGCAACCAACCCTGCCTTGCTCTGAATGTATTCCGTGTGCTCTTGCGACATGGCTAAAAGGGCTTCTCCAACCGGCCGGCACTGCACGCGGAAATGGCTGCCGAAAGGAACGCGGGGTCGTGGGCAGCCTGTCCGGTCAAAGCAGCGACCCTAACCCTGACGCCACTATCTCTGTCAGCTCCGGTAACACAAAGTGCGATCGCTCTGTGCAGCACTCGCTCAGGCCAATGAGAAATTGTCAAAATGGTCACGTCCGAAACCCAACTTGCGAACCCGCCCCTTGAGACGCTCTCCCTTCCACGCCTGAAGCACGTCATTCAAGAACGCTAGCCATCCAATGCTGCCACCCCCCCGCGGCTTATGCATGGCTAAAAGTAATATCAAATGAGAGGTCAAACAACAACAAAAGAGACAAACTTATTGAACCCCGCGCAAAGAACCGTGAAGTGCACTTCTCCAAACAAGTCAACGGGACTCACCGCAGACTCCATCGGAGACCGACCCGAGGCTTCTTTCGGAGACCGAGGCGCGACCACCGAGCCGGTGCCGTGCAACGTGGTGGACACTTCCAGCGCCGGAGCGCCATCCACAAAGGCCCAGAAGGACCCAGGCGGCACGCCTGGCGTCAGCCCCGAACACCCAAAAGGCGGGGAGGATGTTCAAAAACACACCGCCCACATGGGTGTGATCTCTCGTTTTTTTTGTTTTTGTTTTTCATTTTTATGGGGATGCCCCCCCCAAATAACAAATAAAACAGACAACAACACACCGCGCCCTAAACCCCACCTGCGGAGTACTCCTGCGGCTTGAACTTGGAGGGGGCCTGGTTGAAGACCCAGCCATTCTCCTGCGGCACGAACTTCAGCGACTCGCCCGTTTATTTTCAGGCTAGGTCCTCCAGAGAGGTTAGAATCTGGGTACCAACTTTCTTCTGTAGTCCATTTTAGGAGGGGAACTCTCTCCCAAAAAAGGGTAAAAGGGCACTACTAGGGGGCCTAGCAGGAGTTGCCCCATGTTCTTGGGGAGAAAGGGAAACCCACAAGCTGGAAGTGCCATTTTTTCTTCGGGGGGGGGGAAAGCTGGAAGTGCCGGTTTTTTCCTTTTTTTTTGGAGGGCCCTTCCAAAAAAGACACACCCGCTTGCCAAGCCGACAAAAAGCGGCTGAGCCCTTCTTGGGACATCAGAAACGACCACGGGATATTCGAGTGTGCCAAGCTTCGGTTTTCATCTTCCCGACTCGGATAGTGCTGTCCCTCTTGCAACTTCTGGCCATGTTTTCCCACAAACACCCACCCCAAACAAGGAATTGGGCTGCGGCGGCCTTCTAGTTTCAGCTTTCCAGCAAGTTGGTGTTCGCAACACCTGCTTCAAATCCGGGCAATGCAGGAAAATGATTGGTTTTGGGCCGGCCAATGTCTACAGATCACACAAAGCCTTTGCCCTCCATGCGGTGGTTAAACAACTTGATTTTAACAACTTCCACTGGCTAAAGTCGCCTGCAAAACAAAACATGTTTCCAGTGATAGATTCCCTGACCTTCTTTGGACAAGACAACAAACTTCCTTCTTTTCCAATAAAGGGTCACTTCCGAAGCTCTCTATGGGTTCGTTTCTTTTTGAGGGTACCCCTGTTTGGCGTTTTCTTCAGGGAAACTCAGAAGAACACCAAAATCCAGTTTGGGGGTCCAACAAACAAGGTTGGGGACCCTCCCGTATTGACTGGAGGAACTTCGCCTCCATGGTCGCTTGAGACCCGAAGTCGCTGAGCTTCGTCTCGTTGCTGCACTGCGAACCCGTCGCAGCCACGCGGGGCGCACACTCGAAGATGACCTGGTCATGGATGGCTTGCAGCAATCGGCTTGACCAGCAGAAAGGGGCTCCTGGGGCCCGATTTTTTTTTTCGGGTACCCAGAAAAGGTTCAGGCGTCGGAAGTTCCCAAGGGACTCATCCATTCCTTTGGTCGCACCGGTTTGCTTGTGGCTTCTCAACCAATCCAAAAGGCTACCCCTGAAACAAAAACACGACAAGCAGTTGACGGAAGGAACCCAAGGAGCCCGAGATTCGAAGCTCAACGTCAGGAGAAAAATGTCTTGCCATACCCTTGCAACGGGAAAATGCACAGGCAAACGTGGGAAGGAAAACGGAAGGTGAGACACAAAACGGGGGAAGAACAAAAAAGGTCAGGGTCAGAGCCCGAAAAAATCGAGGTAGGAAACTCCTTCAAGAACCTCTGCGGTGGACGGGTGACGCAACAGCATGTCCCAGCAAGTTGGAACACGCACCGTAGAGCCGTGGCGAATTCTCCATGGTTTATGATTGTCAGATGGACGTGCTTTTTTTTTTTTTCCTGGGGGGGGGGGAGGGGAATACTTCGCGTGACAACCGCGCTCATGAGGCATTTCTTCAGGATGGGGTGCTTAAGTGACGACCATGTTGCATTGGCGCACCAAGAGTGCTGAAGCTGCTTTTTCTGGTGGACCCGTGGTATCTAAATAGCTTGATTAGGCGTGACTCAACCGCCAGAGCGCAAAAGCAGCTGGAGAGCTTGGGTGAGCTTGCCTATGGGGTCTTAGTTGGAAACTCTAGGGTGGAAACCGTGATACTCGATACAGCAAATGCTCGCTGCGGCAAAACAAACGTTCTAAAACAACCGTGTTCTTGCCAGTGGGGCGACGTGCGTTTGCACACGAACTCACCGAACGCAAGTAGGGGGTTTTGACTTGTGTACATGTGTGTTCGAGACGCAAGCCGAGTCCAAGCTGGCACTTCATTTCGGTTGTCTTGTCAATGTGCTTTGTCATTTGTAGTTTGGTTGACAGATCCATGTTGTCTTCTGAATCCGGAGCTAATCCTGGAGTGAATATATTCACATCAAAGATAGAAACCTTGATTAGGACGATGCTTTGGGAATCCGAGGGTGACAAGAGACCCCTGGTTTTCTATCCACGTGATCCGCACAAAGAGGCGGGGGCTGTGGATTTCCGGAGAACCTGATCCCATCAGTGGCCAAAGGTCGAAACTTTGCCACGAGCATCGGGAGCTTCCCAAGTATCAAGTCCAGGAGCTCCGGGACGTTTCATTAGGGAACTCCCCCGTACCTCTTTCTTCTTTGTGGGTGTCTCATGTCTGGTCAGTTTGAACCAGGGAAGTCTTTTTGCCACCTTTTGGGGGACATTGTTCGTCCCCCTCGTGAAGGATCCCCTTTTAAAGGGGTCCTTCTCTTCCTTTTTTTGGTTGGGGTGTCTCATGTCATACCCCGGTGGCATTTCGGAGGCCTTGGTGAGGATGATCACTGAGGTCTGGTACTCCCCGATCTTCAGGATGTCCCCATCCTTGAAGCTGAGCTCCAAGTAACGGCTGCGCTCAGGGCTGGCACCTGGCATAGCCGATCGGCCAGGAATCGGAGATGGGCGGCTCGGCTTAAGTTGAGGCGACCCCTCCAAAAGGGAACTCGGTGTTCCTTTTGGTTTCCCGCTAACCCCCCCCATATATATATATATATATGAAGAAGAAAAGAACCCGGGTATCCCCAAAACAGGACCGATCTAAAGTGTTCTCGCTTTACGCATAGTGGCAAGCCTCAAGCAGTGGTTTACCTCTAGGATCATGGAACGAACCCCTCCAATGATTTAAGCTAACAGTTCGATGTTTGGGCCATGATTTATTTTTTCTTTGCGCTACTTTCAAAGCTGGCGATGGGGCCAAAAGGAGCCGTGGTTGCCTCTTGCCATTGATCTGACATCCCGGGAGTTGCCTCGCCGATCGATTTTGGAGCTCTCGACTGTCGACGAAAGGCTCAAGGAACACCTTGGCACGCCCAATCTGTCACGCAGACCAACACTCTACAAATCAACATGGAACCCAAAAAAGGGTGGGTGCTCCAAAAGAAGATGCTTGTACAAGTGGTGGGTTTGCGGGCTCCATGTTGAGTGGCAAAACAGCGGCCCGAAAGCAACGGATCCGCCCGCAGTGTGCATCGCAGGCTTCGAGGGCACCGGCGAAAAGCCATGCTTCGAGTCCGGACTCCGAACGGCGAGCCCGAGAACTTGAAGCCAGGTCCAGATTTGAGAGCTTGGCATAAGTTGGCACCAACTGTTTTCTCTTTTTTGGGTCTATTTTAGTAGGGGAACCGAATCTCCCCCAAAGAAACTGGTGAGAAAGGGCACGATCCTGGGGGACCTAGGGCCCGCCAAATTCCATGGCAATATCATCCAAGGCTTTGTGTTGAACCGCGACATGTTCGAAGCATCTGGCGAGCTGCTGCGCCCCATGGAAGTTGGGCAGAGTCACCTCGGGTATGTATATATGCATATATATATATATATATATATATGTATATGTATGGTCACACCCCCCCAATGATACATATATAAATATATATATATATATATATGTATGCTCACACCCAACCTATGCGACACACACACACACACTCTGTAAATACGGGTGTTTTTGACAAATGTAGTTCAAGTGGGGTGTGTGTGACCATATATATATATATATATCTATATATATATATATATATGTACACAAGTTTCTGCTTTCGTACTTCGCCACCCTTGCCGTGATGGAGTGGCTTGCGTGTTTCAAGTCGCGATAAAATCGGCTGCCTTTTGCGTAGCGCAAGTGGGTCCTCGTCCTCCATCAAAGTTGCTCCGAAGTCTCTGGAAGGAATCTGCTGGGCGAACCGTTTCTGAGTTGGTTCAGCTGAGGCGGGGGGGGGAGCAACCTAGTCATGTTTCAAGCAACACCCACCATTTGGGTATGAACTCCAGAGTAATCCCCAACAAGTTGTCGGTGAACAATTTTATCCCCCACCTGAAAAACATGTCCACCAAACGGTTCCCTATTAAAATCACATGCTTTTTTCCGGATTTTCGCATTTAACCACGCTCCCAACCCCGGCGACCCTTCACAGAGTCTCCCTGCCTTTCACAATGGAATCCTTCTCCTGGCCGTCGATGATAACCTTCACTGCTCCTCAGTGCGCACGCTCGCGTGAGGTAAGACGCGAGCTGAGACGCGTTTCCCGTTTTGGGTAAACAAACACGTGGTCCGTATGAAGGTCAAACATCATCATGGATAACATGAGGGTTCTGGAAGAACAGCTGCTCTTGAGAAGGCCGGTCCACTTCCCTGAGTCTTGGAATAAGTAAAAGATGGGACCAACATTGGAAGCCAAGGCGCCGTTGTTGTTCTGGTTGCCGTACCACATCGCCAGTCTCCCAGATCCTGTCCAGTCTTTCCATCGGATCCAAGCTGAGTAGGGCCCAAGCGGGGTCACCAAACCTGAAAACTTCAGGCTCCCCCTGCTTGCACCCGTGTCAGCAAGCCACCGGTGTGGTCAACGAGGTGAGAAGGAGTACCACCCTCTATCCACTATGTTAGGCTTAATTACATCACATGAGTCACAATCAAAACCCGCGTTGGTCTACCCAGAACCATGTAAGGAACTAAGAAGGCGCTACAGCTATTTATTGTTGGGACTGTTCCTTACTCACTTTCATCTACCCGGGTTTTGAGCACTCATATGATCATCTTACCCCATTTTCCATTAGACATTGCTTTCGAACGTGGGCCAGAATGGCCAGCGTCAGAACCTCAAGAGCCAGTTCTTTCTGGTTGGGCACGGGCAATCGGACTGGGCCACGTGTTTGCCAAGCTTTGAATTCATGATCGAGATGGCGAATCCTAACTGGGCCCGTTTTCAGATCCCCCGCTAAAAGGTGACCAACTTTGAGTGGGTTAAATAGGGAAACTAACCACTAAACACTAAAAAGCGAAAAGGCAAAGGAACCGGATGGCTGGGAGCCACCAAGATAAATCAACCTGATCCTTAAGCTGGGCGCTTAACGAATGCTTCGACTGAATCGCCCACAAAATTCAAAGGCTAGGGGGGAAACAGTGGTGAAAACAAACAGCCCCCAATCTGAACATGTCAGCGATGGCTCTACCTGAGAGAGTCGCTGACACTTCCCGCCACAACGGAAGCAAGGTACAGCGTTCAGAATGGTCGAAGCATATTCATATCTAGAGTACTGACAATTTTTGGATGCGCGACTTGCAGGATGCGACGCTGTCCCTTTGCCACCCAGCCCAGACCAAATTTCCCAAAACATTGTTTCAACCCGGCTAAGACGTTCGTTCCCAGGAGCCTCCGGACAACGTCAGCATCATCAATGAAAGACGGCACAGTGGCCTTCTTTGTTCCATCATGGTCATGTCCTTTAGGAACCCATTTTTCCTACAAGCTAATAAACGATAGGATGGGCGGGTGAGTAGGCGGGATGGATGAGGAGCGAGTTCTTTTAAAGGGCTCCATGCCATTGGTTGTTCCAACCACGTCTGCCCACCCGGGTGGGTTGCTGTGTGACTGAGCGAGTGGATAAACCTGCGACACGCACGGCCCACAGTCCCTCGACTCGAAGCGCGTGGGAAAAATCGCGTGGATTCGGTCCTTTCAGAGTCAGCGACATCTCTTGGGCTGTGCTCCCGCCACGGAAGCCCCAGTAGGACCTCAGCGACCGCCCGCTGCCGATGCCTCCGATGCCTCCGAGGACGGTTCTCAGTCTGAAGGCTCGCGGTTGATCACATTCGATGATCCGGATGTAACGTTCCACTGCTTTGAGATACACCAAAATGGTACCCGGACCCAACACTAACACCACCCCGAGCCCGCCGCATTCGCGCTATTTACACTAGAAGCTGCATTTTGTGCGCCCCTCTCCTGCAAAACCACACCGCGCTCAAGCGTTGGAGAAGGCCCTTGTTGCATTCCAAAATGGATTCAATATTCCAGGACTCTGGTCTTTCATCCAGAATTGGCAGTCGCAACCGGCTTTCCCCGCACGAAGGCAATGTGAATCAGATGTCAATGATGCAGTGGCAATCGCAGTGTTTTTGGGGGAGAGCTCAGAAGGGTAACTCTCACTGAATGATGCGGTCGCAACTAGCTTTCCCCGCATGAAGGCAATGTGAAGCAGTCTCAGTGATGCAAGTGATGCAGCTTGAAATGTGGAATGATGCGATCGAAACCAGCTTTCCCCGCACGACAACGTAAAGCAGATCTCAATCACGCCCAAGACCCTTTGACGCGCTTTGAAACAACTTGAAGCTTCCTGCCAAAGTGAAGCTGTTTCCTATGGGGAATGCGCCATTCTCAGGCAAGTTGCGCAGGGCAGCGCAACATTGCTAGGACTCCCCTTACCTTAAAACCAACAGAACTGTGCTTCTCGCAGGCAAGACGTGACATATTGAAGAAAGGGTTTGCGGAGAGCAACATCAGGTCACAGCGTTGGGGAGTTCAAACGGCATCATGAAACGTTTTCATGCGGCTTCGCCGGCTCGCAGACCTTTCAATGCGTTGAAACGTGTCTGCATCATCTTGCATGTTGAAACTGACACATCGGACACCGTGCGCGCCACGAGGCTTTAGCATGTACACATAAGCCACATAAGCGACATAAACTAAATGAGCTACAGTATGTGTCTCAGGCTGTAAGGCGGACACGTAAGAAATTTGCGAAACCAGCTATGTGTCAAAGGATGGGACAAATTGCTGTCTTTCCTACTTTTGGCTAATAAGCTAATGTGTCTACGGGGGACACACGTACTCCATACGCAAAAAAAGGCTATGTGGCAAAAGGGGATGGGAGAAATCGGTCGCTTCCCTTTTGGTTTTCCATCCGACTCACCGCTTGGACGAGGCCGGCACCCAGGAGGAACTCCTTGCTTGTAGTTCTTGTGCCGGAAGCTGTTCCGCTGCCAATTCTTGAAGGTCCTTGGCGCTCGAGGAAAAAACCGCAACAAAACGAGAACAAAGCGACCGTGCTACGTGGCTTTTTGGGACCACACAAAGGGGTACACGGAAAATGTGCGGCTGGGATTCTGTTCCATACTTCAAAACGTAGACTAGTTTTGGAGGAGACCCCAGGTTGCATTTTTGCTTCCTTTTTTCACTCATAGCTCTTTGAGCCTCTTGGGGTAGCCTACTTTGTTTCGTCTGAGGTCTGTCTCAGCCGGCTGAAAAAAGGGGCACCTCCAAAAGACGTGTCTTCAGCTTGGTTCCATGTCCAAGTTTGTCTATGGATCCTCATGGAGCCCAGGAATCCCACAATGGATCCCAACATCTCGAGCCCGTGGTGAGCCATGAATCTTTTGATTTCCAACTCCCAATCATTTCCAGCGATTCCAAGAATTCCCAGACCAGAGGAGCAGCAAGCCATCCGCGGCTTTTGGCTAGAACTGGATGTTTGGGTCTGATCCTTCTTATTTTGCCCCACTCTCCTTGGGCAGTTGCTTGCATTGTCCGAGTTGGCCCGCCGCCAACAAACACGAAAACACAGAGGTTGGGTGCACGTGGCCTTCATGACAGCCATCTCAAGAAGTTGGCCCAAAACAGGAAGTGGTACTGAAAACATCCAACTTGAACCGCCACTGAGATCCACTTCTGTTTCTCAGGGCGTCCCTTCATGTTGCGTGCCAAGGCCCTTCTTAAGGTCTGACAAAGAAAGCTCTGTGTTCAACGCCAGACTCTTCTTCCAAAAAAGGTCGCACGTCCCCTTGCAGCCCGTGAACCTGTCGACATCTGCTGGCAGCAAACGCTTCGAACCAGCGACATGCTCCACACACCAACCCTCAGTATGCGTCCAGAGCTGGGGCCGTCTGTGCTTTGCAGGAGGCAACACCATTGAATTCCTTCCCCCCTTCTGAACACGGCCGGGCCCGTTAATAACAATCTCCTGGGGACAAACAGATTTGCCAGCAGGGCGCAGAGGGGCTTTGGGGCAAAACAACTCGATCGAGTTTAGCAGCTGCACCCCAAATAAGAGAACCCCTTTCCGCTGGACGAAGCTTGGAGTTCGAACATGGCATCCGAGGGACCATCCTGCGGTGAGCATGGCCCCCTTGCTGGCGAAGTTGTTGACCTCGAGAACTGGTCTGAGCGTGCCCCGGCCAGACTGCAAGGGCCAAATATGGGTAGAAAAAGGCTGAGGCACTTTCAGACTAAGTTAAGACATGGCGTGATTGTCAGAAGAGAAGAATACGCGCCTGTGTGTGTGCCCCCTGTTTCTGCCCTGTTTCTGAGAGGTTTTTGGAGTCGGGCGCCACCTCCCTGCGTGATCAGGCGTGTAGTAGTCCAGGTGATGGCGTCTCTGAAGAGGAAGTCTGCTTGACGAACAACGTCCTGACTTGCTCGGAGCCGAAGCTCCTTTTGGGTTGCCTTTGGACTTTGGCCCCTTTGGTTGGCCACATGGGATGCGCCTCCCGGTTTCACTGTCTCCTATGAAGTGTGTGCCACTGCTTTCGAGCTACAGTCAATGTCGTGAACCCTACGGGGCACTCGACTTGTCTCATGCACAGACCTTTTCTTTTGCCCTTTGTCAACTGACCTTTACCACTGACTCGCTCCACTGATTCCACTACCTGACCTCTTAGCATCCCAGGACCACGTTTCACTACATGCTTTGATGTTTCCCGAGCCCCCGCCGTGTCCCCTCTGACCTTCCCCTTTTCTCACCCGTTTCCTGTCCGGCATACTTGGCCCATTAGCGACGGCCGCTGATGGGGCGACGTCCAACTCCAACTCGGCAGGACGCATGGCGCCCACATCGACCTCCTCGGCGGGGCCCACGCCTTGCCGTTCACCGGTGGCAAGGACCAGGTCTCCATCTCGAGCTCTTCTTCGGGAATCTGCCTCCATCAGCGGTCGCCCCAAAGGCTAACCCATCGGCCGTGAAGTCAGCACCGTCTGCAACGCCTACGGCATCCCCGGGCTCAAGTCCATCGGCAGGTCCGGACAGGCGCGCAGCTTACAAACGTCAAAAATATCCAATCGCAATGAAAGATGGAGGCGTGCCGTGTTCCTGCGTTCTTCCTCCTTCGGTGTGTGTGTGTGCCCCCTGTTTCTAAGGGGTCCCCTTTTTTGGCATCTTTCTTTCTTTTTTGGAGTCGGACGCCGCTTCCCTGCATGACCAGGCGTGTAGTAGTCCAGCAGGTCATGGCGTCCCTGAAGAGGAAGCCTGCTTGACGAACAACGTCCTGACTTGCTCGGAGCCGAAACTCCTTTTGGGTTGCCTTTGGATTTGGGCCCCTTTTGGCTTGCCACATGGGATGTGTGTGTGTGTGTGTGTGTGTGTGTGTGTGTGTGTGTGTGTGTGTGTGTGTGTGTGTGTGTGTGTGTGTGTGTGTGTGTGTGTGTGTGTGTGATTATTTAGCCTTTTGCATTGCTTGTCGCCATCTGCAAACAAGCAACCAATCATGAACAAGGCTCAAGTAAAGCATGTCTAACGTTGCGAATATTTTTGTACATCAAGTCCATACTCCTGCTCACTTGCATCACTCGCCCATCAGCCGATATTCTAAGCCCCCACTCCCCAGTCGTGCAATAGGCATTTTCCTTCGCGCGGAACGCGCCGGAAATATACACAACTGATGTTGTGTCATGTCTCTATATGCACTACGTTGCATTTGTATACGACAGTATATGTATATGAATATGTATATGTGTATGTAGATAAATAAATACATATGTATCTATATATGTAGATGCACACATAGGTACTATTATACCAGTAGAGCCGGCGAAGCCGGTGGGCGGAAGTTTCAAAATATAAAAACTATAGTTCTCTTTCTCTTTCTTTTACTCTTTTTCTCCGTCATTCTTCCTTTCTTCCTTTCTTTCCTTCCTCCCTCCTTTCCTTCTTTCTGTCTTTTCTTTCTTTCTTTCTTTCGTTTGCTTGTCTATCTATCTTTCTCTACCTATCTATCTACCTAACTACCTATCTATCTATCTATCTATCTCTCGTGTTATCTATCTATCTGCTTATCTATCTATCTCTCTATCTCTATATCTACCTACCTCTCTATCTCTCTATCTATCCATCTCTCTATATCCCTCTCTCTCTCTCTCTCTATCTATCTATCTACTTACCTCTGTATCTATTTATCTATCTATCTATGTATCTATTTCTCTATCCATCTACTTATCTATCTATCTATCTATCTATCTATCTATATCTCTATCTCTCTTTCTATCGATATATCTATCTATCTCTCTATCTATCTATCTGTCTGTCTATCTATCTTCTGTTTGTTTATCTATCTAACTATTTATCTCTCCATCTATGTCTCTATCTCTCTTTCTTTCTATCTTTCTATCTCTCTTTCTTTATCTCTCTATCTCTTTCTCTATCTCTTTCTATCTAGCTATCTAACTATCTTTTTCTTGATATGTATCTATCTCTCTATCTCTTTCTCTCTCTCTCTCTCTATCTATCTATCTATCTATCTGTCTCTCTATCTGTCTATCTCTCTATCTATCTATCTATCTATCTCTATATCTCTCTATGTATCCCTCTTTCTACCTATCTATCTATCTCTTTTTCTTGCTATTTTTCTATCTCTCTAGCTCTATCTCTCTCTATCTATCGATCTCTCTCTTTATCTATTATCTATTTATCTATCTCTCTATCTCGTTATCTCTCTCTCTCTGTCTATTTATCTATCTCTCTATCTATCTCTCTCTCTCTCTATCTATCCATCTATCTGTCTCTTTCTCTATCTCTTTCTATCTATCTCTAGCTATCTCTCAATCTGTCTATCGATCTATCTATCTGGCCATCTATATCTGCACTTAAAAGTTGCGATTTTCAATCCCTGAAAGTTGACTTGGCGTACTACTTTCGTACTTGAAAATTGCGATTTTCAAGCCCCGGCTGCGAAAGTGGACTTCACGTACTACTTTCGTACTTAAAAGTTGCGATTTTCGAGCCCCAGCTGGTCTATTTTCGTACTTAAAAGTTGCGAGTTTCAAGCCCCAGCTGCGAAAGTTGACTTCGCGTACTACTTTCGTACTTAAAAGTTGCGATTTTCAAGCCCCAGCTGCGAAAGTTGACTTCGCATACTACTTTCGTACTTAAAAGTTGCGATTTTCGAGCCCCGGCTGCGAAAGTTGACCTTGTGCTGCGCCTGCCACGAAATCTGTACTTGACCTTGCGAAAGTGCTGCGCCTGCCACGAAATCTGTACTTGACCTTGCGAAAGTGCTGCGCCTGCCACGAAATCTGTACTTGCCCTTGCGAAAGTGATGCGCCTGCCACGAATTTTGCACTTGACCTTGCGAAAGTGCTGCACCTGGCACGAATTCTGTACTTGACCTTGTGAAAGTGCTGCGCCTGCCATGAAATCTTTACTTGACCTTGCGAAAGTGCTGCGCCTGCCACAAAAGATGTACTTGACCTTGCGAAAGTGCTGCGCCTGCCACGAAATCTACACCTGAGCTTTCGAAAGTGCTGCGCCTGCCACGAAATCTGCACCTCACCTTGCGAAAGTGCTGCGCCTGCCACGCAATTCAATCCTTGCGAAACCTCCGCGTTGCCGTGCCAATGGGCCCGCGCTCCGAGCATGGTCCGAAAGCGCTCCGAACGCGCTCCGAGAGTGGTCCGACCAGGCGCCGCGAACAGGCTAGCTTTCGGCTCTCCGGAGGAGACACCAATTCACGCACGGGGCCATGCTTTTTGCAGCTTTCTATACTCCCGCCACACGCGCGCACATATTTTCTCGCGCGCTTATTCCTTCTCTTCATCTGTCTCAGCGAGAGCTGGCTTTCAATTAGTTGCCGTAACACGGAAGTTCCTTCTAAACTTCCTTTGACGAAACATGATCTAGTATACGTACATATTATGAAGCATATCATGGGTGTCAATACCTGTGTATCTATGTATACAGCTGTATACACGTGTGTATACATATATATATATATATGTATGCACTACTAAATATGTAATGTATATGCACACCATCCGGTTGTACGAGGTGTCGAGTTTCAATGTTGCCGGATGCCGGGTTCGGAGAAAGGTGAAAGCAGCTTCTGGATCGCCAGCTGCGACGGCTCTTAGGGCAATTGGGAAAAAGGGCAAGACAACTTAAGAATCTGATTCAGACTGCAATTTCTAGCAAATAATTCCAGAGGCTGAATTCTCAGAATTGAATCCCCAAGAGAAAGAACCTGTATCATGGTGAGTTCGCTTTTTTTTCCCCTCCGAGCTGGCCATGATCCCCAGCCGCTTTCATTCCGTCCGCGATCCTGGGTGCCGCGCGTTGTTCGTGATGCCGCCGCTCCGAGTTCGTGCGCCGCATCTGGCCTCGGGGGCGCGCGGGCTCGCGGGGCGGTGGCCTGGGGCTTGCCGGGAATGATGGTTTCGCAAAATCCGCCGACCCCATTGGTCCAGAATGGGGCGGCGGCGGAAGCCATTAAGTAGCCGTTCTCGAACCGCCTTGATTTCGCTCATACCCAAAAAGGCTCCAGTTTGAGAAATGGGGCAGGGAGTAGAACTGGATTAGATAGCCTCCCACGTTTAGAAAGGACATGGTGCAAACCAGGACCAAGGCGTACAAACTTGCGATCGGTTCGAAAGGCAGTGAATGGGCTATGCCAGAGTTAGTGCTGGGGCCAAGGTAGAGATAACGCATCATTGTAATCAGGCCCACCCCTTTTGTGGCTGAAGAAGGCCCCCTGTTCACAATCCTCCATGGTTTCCCAAGTTAATTCCCAACACCCGGAAGGTCGAGTCTACGCGAAATCATGTAGTTTGGGGAATTTGTGTTGCAAGACACACTTGGGCTAAAGCTATGGGGTGCTTGGGGGTTGATGAAAAGGTCTTTACATGGGAAGACCATTGGCAATTGGGGAAAACAACTGGGGGGCCTTTGTCTGGAACTTTGATCCACCCTCCACCTGTGAACCACAAAAAAGTTGAAGTCGTCCGCCAGGCGCCTCGTGGCGCTGATCGCAGGAGATCCAGAGCCGCTGCACAACCAGAACCTGAGCCAAACGTCTAGGGCCAGGAGTCATTCATCCACTTTGCTGAGCTCTTTCGGTTTTAGTGTTCTTCTCATACCTCTCTGTTGGAAAAAAATGATTGGCAGTCAGCCATGCGTCGACACGAGCTTTTTCTGGAGATGTTGTGGCGCTCATGTTCTACTGGGGAAATTCGAGCCATTCAGCCATTCGAAATGAAGTTTCTTTCCGCTTTAGTGCAAAGAGAGAGCCATTCATCCACCTTGACCAAAGGCTCGGAATATATATATATATATACCCATATATATATATATTGCGCATCTGGAGTGTATTCTGACAGGGATGGAAACGCCCGCTTCTTCACTGTGGAAACAAACATGTTCAACATGTGACCGCGGAGACTCGCGGAAGCAGTGGCAACAGACATATGCCCGCGGAAGCGACGAACACAACACCACGGAAGTTTTTCGGAAGGCCCCGCGGAAGATTGCCAGTCGCATGAAAAATGAGAATGAAAAGCAAAGCTCAATTGAAGCGGAAGTTTTGACAACAGCAGCTTTGATTGATTAATGAGAACAGCACCAGAGTCTACGCAAGAGCCACTGAAGTGTGTGTCCTCTCTACTTCGCGCTGATCCGTTCATGTTTGTACATTTTGGGTTACCTGATTTATTAATCAGCTTTGCATCATTTGTACATTCAGAAATATATGTTTGTTGTTTTTTGTTGCCTTCTGTTTTGTCCGCACTGACCAACAACCCTAGCAACCCCACCTGCTGATCTTTGTCATACTGGTGTGTCTTTGTTTAGACCCTGCCTAATGGTGTGTTATTTTTTGGTTTTCCTCTACCAAAGAAAACCACCAACAAAAAGGTCACCCTCAAAAACAAGACAGGCCCATTGGCTTTCGGAAGAGAAGCTGCCGTGTTGTACTCCCCAATCGTGAGCGTGTAGCCATCCACGAAGCGCCCAGCAATCTCCTTGTAGGTGGCGGCTCCTGCACCGTCCACATATCTCGAGGGATTTGTCTCTTTTGATGGGTATGTCAATATCGGGGCACCCCTCAAAATTGACAGTTTTGCTGATACTTTTCACTTAAACCCAGATAAAAAGGCTCAGCAAAAAGGCGGGGTCGGAAACTCCGAACACCAGTAGAGAGAAACAACTCAGGCAGATGGGACACCAAATAAGCAAATCGCCAGGACACGAACGAGCTATGGGTTTTGATGGCGAGGTTCTGTAGCGCTTGAAGGGTTTTTCCTTCGCCTAAGCTTATACTGGGTTTGTATAAGCATCCATCCAAAACCCATACCTGGATCTGTTTCACCAAACTTCGTCCGGGAGAGTTAACTATGCGAAGCCGAGTCCTGCTGAGCTCTTCTCCTCATCGTTGACGAAGAATTTGACGACCCCCCTCTTGTACTGGTTGCCAAAGGCCAGCCAGTAGTATCCTAGTAAAAGGAAAGACAGCGGCTCATTCCCTGTCAGGCGGAACATGGCGTCCATTTTAGCCGGAACTTGTGGCTGTGTCTTTCTTGGGGGAACCAACTTGTTTTAAGGCTCGGTTCAGGCCAAAGGAAACGGACCTTGGGAAGGGGGCCCCGTGCGTAACCCGCACGAAAAGGACTAAGGACTACCTTTGAACAGCCCAGAATTTTGAGAATCACTTCACTGGTGCCTGGGTGAAACTCTCCCTTGCGTCAGATCGAGGGCACCCATTGGCTTTCGGAAGCCATTGAAGCAAGTTCCAGTCCCTAACACCTGGCCGAACATCTTCAGGTGAAACCAGCACATCTGCCAAAGCTGTCAAAGATGGCCTCTGGAAACCCGGAAAAACTCGACGTGGGTTCTTAGATTTGGAAGCCCTCACAATCGGTTGCCCTTTTGCTTCCCCTTTGCCGCAAAAACGGCACCAAGCCTCACGAAAAACCCAATTGCAGGATGGTCAACTAGTTCGAGATCCCCACGCCGAACTAGGAAAAACGGCGGCCCCAACATGTTTTCCTCTTGCACTCACATCTATCACTGGAAGTTTAACCCCCCTCCTAGGGCCCACTCGTTTCATACGTGTTTGATTTGGGGGGTGGGCATTGTTCATGCTTGCGAGTCATAGCATACAACGACTGAAAATCTTGACGTCTCGGTCAAGAGACCACAAGCAACACTACGACTCTTTGCTACCCAAATGAGGAAACCCAAACTGCAGAAACCTTTTGGGCGACTTTAGACAAAAACAGAAGGACGCCAACCATTGGGAGTCGTCCCCGACTTTTGGACGCAAACTTCTGTGTTTCTGCCTGGTCAGATTGCTGTGCCTGTGGGAGACTTAAGTTGCCAAACCCAATGGCGACAGGAGCCCTTCGGGTGCCACGCATTTTGAGGAGAAGTACTCCATGGCTTGTCTATGGGGGCACCCCCGAAATGGATTGGCTTTCCCCATTGCCTTGAAACCAACCAAAAGAGGGGTTCCCCCAAAGAAACACCCACATCCCGAGATTGCCACTTGTTTATTTGGAGGTCAACTCCTTTGGCTTGAGGAAACACGACCCGAAAACCCATCTGCGTTTGGAGGGCAAACATTGGGGATCGGACCCCAACCGCCGAAAAAAAAAAAAAACAACGAAAACACAGCCTTGCAAAAATGTTCTTCGCCACCAAAGAAACACGGCCCGCGAGCCTTTCACCGCGCAAGCTACAGCCGTAGGTTTCGCCGGTCCTGTCCCTCTCAAGGTAAGGGACAGCTCGAGCGCCGCATTGCCGCCTCTGAATCCCCAGTAGGAGCCTCGCGAGTCGCTTTCTGGACTCAACTTCTTCAGCTTTTTGGCGTGGAACTTTTGGTGGTGAGGTTAGGGGCAATTCCCAACCTGGTTTGGAGGTTAGAGGCTGGTTCTGGCCGATTTGAATTGGGCCCATGCCAGTTGCATCATTGCTTGCCTATGGCTATGGACCAGAAACCTCTTTGTTTTCAAGGGAGAACCATTTGCGGTACCGACCCCCCTCCCCCCCAAAAAAGAGAGAGAGAGAGAGAAATGTACGCCTGTTGGGGGAAAGACACAGGTAAGGCACCTGAATCTTACGGAGAAAAGACGAAACTGCTAGCCTGCAACACACATGGATCTTGAATCCGAAACCAGAAATCTTAGGCGCGCGCAATCTTAGCCCTGAAATCGGGGAACACCCCTTGACAACCAGATGTAGACCAGTCGAAAAGGTTTGAGCAAACGAACCGGGAGGAGCTGAACTGGCCCCTCTGTCCAGTCAGCGAGTGGCAAAGTGGCAAGCTTTGGAACACGTGAGACGCGTGCCACTCGATGCACAAGAAGGCAAGTCTCGGTTTGTCAAACTGTTGGAACCCACTGGAGGATCGCCCAATGGTTTGTCCACTTCTCCAGCGGCGATCAATTTTTTGGGCCAATTGAGACGCCCATTTGGGGTGTTTAGCAGGGTCGGTCCCAAGCCTTAGCGGGCAATGCCTTTGAAACCACCCCGTTTACCCGAAGGCACAGGCTCGCCCATGTGCCAGTCGAATCAGAAGATCAGAAGCGTGACTGGGAGAGAACGCGATGCATCTGCAAATTACGCTTCACAAGCGGGAAAGAAGGGCAGACATAGCTCACTTCCCGAATCGATGAGCACATGGTATTTTCTCCAGCTTTTTTCCTGGGTTTGTCTCCTCAACACCCCCCCAAAACAGTTTCCCTTGGGCTTCCCTGGAAAAAAACACAACACAAAAAACAAACACAAACGCCCAACCAGGGCACCAACTCCAAAAAACCACCCGCCCCGGCCTCCTGGTACGCCAGATCGGTAGTTTCTGGGCTTCCAGCTGTTTTTGCGCTGCCTGGCACTGGCGTTGGGTGAGCCCGAAATGGCTGCAAAAGCATGTGAACGCAGGTCAAATCCACTCGTGTTTAAACGCTTAATTAAACCTTCTTAAACCTAGATTTGAGTAAACATGTTTGAGCCACTCTCCTGTTGAAGCACACGGGTGCCTTTTTCACTGGGAGACTCTTGTTGAAACACAATTTGCATCCCCAAGCGCCTGTTCTTGAAGCGCCAGCCGGAGAGGAACATGCGGCCCTGGGCATAGGAGCCGCTTGCACGACTTATTGCGCATGGGAAACTTGGAATGCCCCGTCTGTGCGACATTTTTGCCCTGGATCTTTGCCCCAAACCGCAGTAGACTACCACTGTCTTTGCTTTTGCCAGTTTGCGAGCAAGTGCGCTTTTCGCGACAAGCCGGGATTGCAACCGGATTCAGAGAGGTCAAACAGATGTCCACATCGGGGTTGAACTTCCCTGTGCCAAACGCTCAGGCAACCTGAAGTCGCAACCTGAAGTCGCCAATTTGAACGGGGCAAGGTCGGGAGCTCCCAAAGCACCACGCTGAACCTGGCGTAGAGTCGTTGAAAGGCTTTGGCTTCCCCGCACGTCTTGTTGCTTGATTCGACACAGTGACCGACAGAAGAGGATCAAGTCATGGCCCTGCCGAGAAAAGAGGCGTGCACGCGTTTTCGGGCGCCTTGGTTGGACAACGATCTTTCGGAGCCCCTCGGGCTGCATAGGAGGGCAATCGTAGGCTTGTTCCCCCATGATCTTCACACCGCAAGCCGAATCTTTGAAGAACCTAAGGCCAACTCGAAATAAATGGCGGGCTCGCCAGCCAATATGTCTCCCCCAAAAGAAACAGGAGACCTGGGGTTCTTTGCAGAAACGGGGCCTTTTGGCTACGCCAAGCTGCGTAGCTGGAGAAGTCGTTCACCTCAAGCTGGCAGAAAGCCAGCCGACCCATCTTCACACATGGCCACCCACTGAGAACGGGAGAAGTCTGACGAGGTAAGCCAGTGGTTCAAGTCCTATCCCGTTTTCACTGGGCCTTTGATGCGACATAACCGGCGCAGAGAGACTCAAAATGACGGTGGGTCGGTCGTAAATGCATAGCTCTTCAGTATCTGATCATCAGCCGAACATATTCAGCATTGGCCAGTACACCGAAAAAACAAACGTGTAAGCACATTATATATATATATATCTTCATATACGCATGCATACGTCACTAGACATCCTACTGACAAAGCCTGAGCACTGAGAACAAAGAAAGCAAAACCAAGAGCTCCAATTTTCAGGCACAAACTTCCGCCCTTCGCAGGCTAATTTGCCCGACGAAAAACTCTGCGACTCCAAAACAAATGCGCTTGGCCTCGCTTAGCCATGAGTCAATGAGCAACGGACATTGCCAGGGCACCAGTCTTGGGTCCCATCTTGGAGGTTGAATGCCGGGCACCACTGATTCAGCGGGAATGGGCTTAAACACCCCTCAGGATGCCGCATCTCTTTTTTTTGCCCTCTTGGCGAATAGGAGCAATGCCGTTGGAGTCGCTTGTTGACCCTTTCCGTTGGATTTGTCAAAATGGGACACCTAGGAATGGAGGCAGTGATTGTTCCTTCGCTCTGAAATGCTTCAGGGGCCCCCTTGAACTGGAGTTTGCCAAGGCTTCGCTCCCTGTTGGGATTGGTATTTTTTTGCCCTATTTAGGCTTGCCTGTTGAAGAGACCCCGATTTTGAAACGCGAGTTTCGATGAGTTGCTCCGGCTTCCCTTTCAAATCACCCAACAAAAACAGGGCACCATCAAGAAACAATACTCGCATGCCATGGTCAAACACCGTGTTGCCCGCAAGAAAAGGATGCTTGCAGTGAAATTTGCCCCCTCAAAACTTGACCAGACCATTTGAGCCTGCTGATCAGGAATAAATTAACTCACCAAGTCAGGTCAACGAAGTCTGGCAGAACACCTGGGCCCTAGAACTTCCCATCTTGCAGTTGGGTCTTGCTTTGGGGGAACTTTTCTTCTGGCTTGGTTTCAACAAAAACCGAAAAGGACAGCGCTGCCATGTTCCGAAGCGTCTCTCGTCGTTGTCGAGCGATGTTCTCGACTTTCCGAGGCGCGTCGTTGCCTTCGCAGTCGTCGTGGCTGAACTTGGCTACGTGCGCGTCGCAAAGGAAGAAGACCTGCTCGATGATCATCACCTCGGACGTTTTGCTCTTGTTTCTGGGCTGCTCTCAGATCAGCAGATCAGCAATCCTGATTCCTGTTGTTTTGTCCCTCTTCGATGCCCAGTGGCCCTGGGAAAAAAACGAATCGGGTGCCTTTTTTGGTTGGTTGACTTTAGAGGCGAACCCTTCCCCAAAAATGTTGGAATCCACTGGTTGCAACTGGGTTTTCAGAGAGAACCCTTGGCTTTGGAGTTCACCAGGCTTGTCATCAGGAAAAACACGGAAGAGACTACCGGTTTTTCTTGAGCTAGCCCCCAAACCAACAAACTCTCCCCGTGTTCTTCTTACGCAACAACAACAACAACAACAACAACAACAACAACAACAACAACAACAACAACAACAACAACAACAACAACAACAACAACAACAACAACAACAACAACAACAACAACAACAACAACAACAACAACAACAACAACAACAACAACAACAACAACAACAACAACAACAACAACAACAACAACAACAACAACAACAACAACAACAACAACAACAACAACAACAACAACAACAACAACAACAACAACAACAACAACAACAACAACAACAACAACAACAACAACAACAACAACAACAACAACAACAACAACAACAACAACAACAACAACAACAACAACAACAACAACAACAACAACAACAACAACAACAACAACAACAACAACAACAACAACAACAACAACAACAACAACAACAACAACAAAAACAACAACAAATATGTTGAGCGAATGCAGTGTCAAGAGCACTTCTTGCCTGGGCGTTTTCAGTCTCAGATCCCATGCAAAACCTCCCAACTCGTGGGTTTACATTCGGAACCCCCAAACCGACCACAAACACCTGCAAACCCTACGGAGCCGGATGCGTGGGACAGGATGTTCCTTTGGCTGAGGGGTGAGGCCTGCCTGCAAGCCTAGCTGCGGACGTGTCATACTCCCCGATGGTGAGCACATCGCCGTCCTCGAAATGCACCTCAATGAACTGGCCTCAGTGAGTACGCGGCGTTTTCCACAAACCCAACATGAGTCATAATCAACACCCGGTACTAAAATGGTCTACCCAGAACCGTGTAAAGAATTAAGAAGGTCGATATTGGCAGCTATTTATGGTTGGGAGTATCCCTTACTAACCTTCATCTACCCGGGCTTTCATTGTGGCTCACATGGATCCCGGGCTTAGCTGGCTTAGGGGCAAGAACCAAAGCGCCCAACACGTTGATCAAAACGCTGTATCAGAGGCGCCACTGTTTTTTCGGCGTCCTGTTTGACACATTATGGGCACTTTCACAGTTTGGGAGCCCCGAAGACTGGCGGTTTCTTCTGGTTTCCCTCTAAACACCAAAAGAAGAAGTGCACCAATAGTTGGGCTTGATGACTACCTCTCGAGCTTGCCACAGTTGTCTCAAGATAAAACAGTCCCCAAAACGGCGACGTTTTCCTTACGGCTTCCCCAAACAAAAAGAGTTGGTTTCCCGTTAACACCCACCTAAAAGGGGTTCTCCAAGAATGTTAAGGGACAAAAACGGGATATTTTTCTTGACGTTTTTTTTTTGGTGTTCTTCTCTTTTTAACCGACACACACACACACAAAACCCGTACAACAACAAAAAGCGACACCTGCACCGACGACAAACCGCCGAGCTGCTGAACTCCTCAGCGTAAGCCGTCGCCAGCTCCGCGCCGTTGAGCTTCACCTTCGTGGTGCCACAGCCTCGAGTTGTTTTGCAGACCGAAGGCAATTTAACACCAACATTTAACACCAAAATTGCACAATTTAACAATTTAACACCAATTTAACAACAATTTAACACCCATTGGCCCATTGGCCTAATTTTGGCGCAATTTAACACCAAAATGGCCCCCCCAATATTGCCCAACCACCGCCGCTACCCCCGTACCAACTGAGTGTTCTAGATCCTCCAGATTTGAGAGGTTAGAATAAGTTGGTACCCGATGTTTTTGTCTGTAGTCTACTTTAGTAGGCAACTCTGCCCAAAAAAAAGGCAAAAAGGCACTGCTGGGGGACCTAGCCTAGGCTAGTCCCTAGGGACACATAGGACGTCACTTCAACGGGGGGGCTTCCTTATCAAGAGGTTTCCGGAACATATGGCCATGTTCAAAAGCCCGTACCAGTGAACATCTACAGGGGGGGTGTTTTTACCACCTTTTCTGAGAAAATGGGCGACCCCCTTAAAAAGGAATCCTTCACTACGAGGGGGTCGAACAATTTTCCGCAGAAGGTGGCAAAAAGACCCCCTGCTAGGCTAGGCCCTAGGCACACTAGGACATCACTTCAAAAGGGGGGGGTTCCAGAAACCCTTACCAAAACGTTTCCGGATGCCGAAGATCACACCAAAAGCACGCTCAGTTCCTAAATTGGCAATGAGAAGGTGATGCTTTCCTTTTTGCTGGCGAGGCCCCTCGGCAAACCTGTTGCACCCTTTGTGGGTTCAACGGAAAATCCATTTCCCGAAAAGCTAAAGTCCAACGATCCAACCAACCAAATAGCCATCAAGGAAACAACCCCATTTTTGAAGCTGGGCGTAGGACAAGGATTGTTCGAACAAAAGGAAACCCGGATCCTATTCCAAATGTTTGGATAAGGGTCCAATCATGTTGGTCCGGATCTCAGCCCAGAAGCAAACCAGCATGGCACAGCACATAAACAAAAATGCGTGTTTATGTTGCGACCGTCCTTGTCCGGCTAGTTCGCGCCTATGCATTTTCGCATTAACTTCTACTGGTCTGAGCTAGGTTGGAGCTGGAACATTGTTCGAATCGTGCCCGCAATTCACCAACATATGCTGCAATGTTGCTATGCTCCTAGCTCATACGTAGCCACCCCTGTGCGTTTGTCGGCAACAATCTTCCAAACACAAACCACGTTTTCTACTTGCGCCTCAAAGAAGGAGCCCTGCGCGAGCTGCAAGCTTCTTGTCTTGCCATTATTTCTTCTTGTTCTTTATCTTCTTTACTGATTACTTCGTCCATAATTATTTCTTCTTTCCTGCTTCCTTTTTCGTCTTTATTCTTTCCTCTTTCTTCGTTCTACTTTTCTCTTTCTTCTTTCTTTGTTCCTTCTATCTTGCTTTTCTCTTCCATTCACTTCTGGAAGCGCTGCGCCTGTCACGAAGTTCACAGTCAAACCAAAACGTCTAAACGAGGTGCGAACGAGGTCCACAGGGCCCACGTCACAATCCTTTGTTGGGGGCGTTCGTGCGGGCGCAGGCGTCGTTGCGCAAACTGCGGCGCGGCAACGCGGGGATTACTTTGCTTTATGCAAACTTAGAGAAGTCCAGAAGGGCGGGTCGGACGTTGGTACAACTTTCCGGGCTGGAGCTTTGAGCTGCGCGCTCCGGTGTTGCGCTTGACAGCCTGGGTCGCAGGACAACCAGCAGCAAGGCGAGCATGGTGAGGGGCGTCGCTGAGGGCAAAGTCTATTAATGGCGCCCGGAAAACATTGGAACACATGCCTGGAGAGGGGGGGAGGGCAGGGGGAACTCTGGGAGAAAGTCATGGAGAAAGCCATGTGTATGGAGAAAGTCATCGGGAACTCTGGGAAAGCATGGGGAACATACAGGAAAGCATGGGGGAACAAAGCCATGAACAAAACCTGTGGGAAAACATGGGGGGAACATGGCCCACCAATGGAACTAATTGGAGAGCATGAGACAAACATGGGGGTGGGGGGTGAACACTGGATTGGACCAAAGCATGCTCATTCTCATCCGAGCCGAAACTAGGTCCTCCAGTAGAGAGCTTAGAATAAGTTGGTACCCTTTTTCTGCAGTCCATTTTCGTAGGGGAACCCTCCCAAAGAAGGAACGGTACAAGGGCACCTAGCTGAGGGAGCTCGGAAAATCCAGGAGAAAAAAACTCACCCCCCCATCCCCTC